TTCCATATCCATGGGTTTAAGGTAAGCTACCACCTTTGAAATCGTATGTATGGAATACGTCTTCTTGGAGCCATCGTGGTCCATGCCACCACAACTCAATTGTCCGGAGCTGATTCACAGTTATGCCTCGAGAAATCAGGTCCTCTTACTTAACCTGTTCCAGATGGTTTTGTCGGTCACGGAGTGAATTTAGCTAAGGGGCGTCACAGAAGGCATGGACCTCGATGGTTACTTTCCCGTCACAGTGCATCCACCTTGAGATTTCGATGTGACCTACTTGAGTAAGATTTTCTTTGAAGTTAGTTCATTTACCCGTTTCTGCTCACACTCAATGGCTTCTGTCCAAAGTTCCTGCATTAACAGTTTAGCCCGTACTACCATGGGGAATAGCCAGGCTAGTGGGTTGTATATCTTGCGATTTGGGATCGATCAACTGATGTTGAAGGACCTTCGAAACTTCTTAGTTGTACGACCTTTGACCTATTCTGCTTGCTACAGTATCTTAATTCGAGAGAGTCAGTTTGTTGAAAATCCCCTCCGCCTGTAACTCCTTGATCTACTGAGGTGCTAGCAGCGAGCTGGTTTTGGTCTCCTGGAAACTGATCAGTTTCCTGGATTATCTTGGTCCAGGGAAATATTCCACTCTTTTCTGACCTGGACCTCTCATCATAGCAGAAACCCATGGATCGCGTGTGGAAGAATAATGGAAACTAAACAATTGAAGAAGAAACAGAAAATTTACGACTTTGGATGGGATAATGAAGCAAAGCTTTGGAATAGAAGATTTTGGGGTAAAAATCTATAGAGATAATAATCATAATAATAATAATAATGATGTTTTTTTTTTTTGTTTTTTTTTTGTTTTTTTTTTGTTTGTTTTGTTTTCCTCTTTCCTGATAGCGTTGGCTATTGTGCCCATCAATATCTATGTTGGTAAGTATGAAATACATACTATCTCTAGATTTCCAATGTGAGGGTGTGAATTTTTATTTTATTTATTTATTTCTTTTATTTTTTTTTTAGGACCCTACATAACTTCACCAGACACAGACACTAATCGTTACTTGATTTTAATCCGTGCGATTAGTTAACCAGGCTAGACCTGAGTTCTCACAAGATACACCGACCATAATGATAATAATAATAATAATTTATTGCCATCATAATTCATAGAAAAAATAATGAACATCGGCATTGTCAATACATAAAACAGAAACATTAACTAATTATAGTAGTCAACTAATTTATACAATGACATAGAGATCAAGTATCGTTTGACAGCTTGTTTAAATTGAGTTTCAGGCACAATAGACCTTATTTCAGGGGGTAATGAATTAAAAGCTTTTATGCACGAATAGTATGGCCCTTTTTCATATTGCGCCGTTCTGTGTAAAGGAATTCTCAAATCATTACAATTACGTGTCGTCATCAAATTGTATTTAGATGAGTTTTTTGTGAAAAGATTTACGCTTTTTCACAAACATAACAAGAGAATAAATATACAAGGATGGAACCGTCATTATGTTAAGTTGTGAAAAATAATTTTTTGCCGAGGTAGTCGGCGATACACCCACAATACATCTAATAATTTGTTTTTGAGATACAAAGATATCCTTCAAATGAGAGCTTGAGCCCCAAAACATAATACCGTAAAGAAGGAGAGACTGAACTTTAGCAAAGTAAAACATTCGTATCGTATCAATAGAAATTTGTGTTTTTAGGTGTCTGATTAGGTAACATATTGAGCATAATTTCTTTCGCAGCTGAATGCAATAACTACTCCACTTCAAACGGTTATCCAATGTGACATGAAGGAACATTAGTTCTTTTTGTTGAGGAATGGATTTGTTTTCTGACCGAACGTACAATGACTTATCGAGTTTATTATCAAATACAATTAGACCTGTTTTTGCCTGATTTAATGTTAGGAAGTTATTATCACACCGATTAACCATATTTTGTACAACTGTACACGCTATAGATGATAATTCTGACAAATTTGAGGCTGAAACGATGCAGGATGTATCATCGGCGAATTGGTATGTAGATTGTATCTGGAGATTTACAAGTAGGTCATTGGAGTATAGTAGAAAGAGAAGTGGTCCCATTATAGATCCTTGTGGTACCCCTTGGTTTGTGGTATGTGGTTTAGAATACGTTGATTTTATTAGATTGCTATCATTATGATGATCGGTGATACATACCCTTAGGGTTCTGTCTTCTAGATAAGAATTTATTAGTTTTAGACTATTACCTCTAAATCCATAGCGCTCTAGCTTCTGCAAAAGTATTTCGTGATTTATGGTGTCGAATGCTTTCGATAAATCAAAATAAATACCAGCAGTGTATTTACGATTTTCGATTTGATCCAAAATATATGACACTGAGTTGAAGATAGCTTTTTGGGTAGATGACTTAGGTATGAAACCAAAATGAGAATTAGAGATAATTTCATATTTGGTCATAAATGACAAAATTCTGTCATACATTATTTTTTCAATAATTTTTGATAAATTAGACGGTATAGATAGTACCCTATAGTTGTTAATGTCATACAAGCTACCCTTTTTATGTAAAGGAATATGTTTGGAATTACCTTTTAACGTTTCCGGATATTCTCCAGGCACGAAAATGTGATTTATAATATCAGCTAATGGTTGAGATATGTAATAACTCGCTATTTTTATTACAGAGGAATTGCTAGGAAAATGAAAACTTTGCGAGACAATATTTCAGAAAAATTGAAGAATATTTAAAAAGATTCTTATGATGAAATGAAGATAGAAAGGGATACAGAATTCTACTTACGCGAATCCGAAAAAACCGAAACTTCGTTTGATTTTCGACGCTGCAGCAAGAACACTGGCTCAAGTCTGAATTCCGAAATGAAATTCAGACTGTGGAATTGCTCACTTTCGATATTATGGAAATGTTAGAACGCATGGAATTTTAATTGTCATCATCCATATATATTATGATCTCTGGCGATTGGATTCGTATTTTGAGGATTCCAAAGTAATTAGTGGACGAGATTCAAGATGAACTCCTATAGTGAGGATATATTTTCTTTTACCAAAAGTACCGCCATTTGCATTTCGTGTACTTAGAGTGTACCTTTGTTTAGGTTTCGGCTGACATTTTTGTATCTCAATTTCCAATTTCCGCTCCATCTATAATTAGTGGTGTGTAAATTTTAGGTTATCAAGGAACGGGGTTACCTATGATTTCTTTTAGGGTTTTAATTTTTAGTACCAGTTTAAATTCCGCACACGTTTTACTGTACCTATAATACCTGCGAGTAACGACACCTTTGTCATATCTTTCTATCTGCTGATAACGAGCGGGCATTTTGCTGTGAAATGGGTCAAGGGGTCACGAACAAAATTTAATGTCAAGGATCGATCATCAACAAAGGGGCAGCTTTCGTAATTCTTTAGCGTCTTAGTTAATAACTATTACATTCAAGCAATTTGTTAACATCAATAACTACTTAGTATTTTTGCCATCTCAATTAAGTTCTGATCGAGTTTCAAACGTGAATGTTGTTGGAGACCACCACTTCCTTCTGAAGAGGTTGGCCCCAAGTTAAGAACCGTACCTGGTATAGAAGCAGATTACGAGTAGAGCGAGGCCCTTCAGGCATTAGTCAATTAATTATATATACATAGCCTTGCGGCTTGGGAGGTTTTCTTTTGATTGATTTCCGGTTTTGGATGCGAGAACTGACCTCACTTCTTGGCGTCGATATCTAACTTAGATAAAGGTAAGGGTTGCCTTACATGTTTTAGTTGTACTTGGCCCTATACGCGCGAATTTATTAATTTGCAAAAAGTTGTTTTAAGAGGGGAATTTCAATTGTATGGTGACGTTACTATTTACTAAGATTTGTGGGTAACTGAAGATATAATTTTGAGTATTTGGGGGAGTATTTTGCCATTGTGGTACGTAAATTGATTTGAGGACAAACATGAATCTTTTTTAGCGACGCTTGGCAGCGCGGCATCACGTCGCGTCACCGAGGTGAGTGCAGCGGAAATGAGAATCGACCTTTACGGTCCAAAATATCACTTCAATCACATTTTTGTGCATTTTGTCTGTCCGTCCGCCCGTTCAGAGCCACTCCTGCCGTTTTGAAGTAGGAGAATAGTCCCAGAGTCCTGGAATGTTTTGCAATAGATAGCCTATAGCGTGAAGGTGTGTCAGACGGCCACCCCCCCCCCCCAATGAATTATTTCCTGTGATGCTGTTATTGAAAGTTAAACGTGCATAACTTTTAAGATCTCAACGAAAGAAGCGTTTCCTACCAATTACCGCCCTTTTTTCTGACCTCTTAGCAAGAGAGAGGTGGGGGGGGGGGGAGTGTAACTTGTTTTATCCTTCATATGGTACTCTAATGAAAGCTCTCAGCGAAAGGGATGCTACTACCTTCTAACCCAAGCATTTACCAAGCTACTTCGGTTTGAAAAAATGCGCTTTATCTGCACAGGAGTGGTGCACAATTTATACTTGTTCGTATTGGGTACACATGATCTGAATTTCTCAACCTTTTATTATGGAACAAACTCTCCAGAAGCACTTTTGCACTCATTTCGTAACTAACTAAAAGTTTGCACAGTCCTTTCCATTATGACTTTTTAGGATTTTTTTTGCACGAGAAAAGTTAAAACAGTTACACCATCCTCACATATTGCGGTTTTTCAACTACCGCAATCCGTGCGATTGTAAATTTCACGTTTCAAATTTCAAAGCTTTGTCGCCGCAGCGCTCGGCCAATTGAAATTTTAATTAATTGATCGAAACCGTTAATCGCCGGACGGATTACTTAATGAAATATTTATCGGCAATCAGTTAGCATAAAGTTGACTCGATTTCGAATTACTTAACCTAATTTCTTAAACACTTTTGAAGATTATTTGCGAAGTTTCGAGCGCATGTACATTTTACACCACCTACTCGCGCGCTACATCTACAAGCTCGCTTTGAACATCATTTTTGTAACAGTTACAAATCCGCAACGAACCGATAAAGATTCGGAATTTAAGGGTAAGTTTGATGTTAACTGGCTCCCAATTTCGTCCAATTTGAAGCGAAAAACTTTTCACATCCCTCGTCACGTCTTTCGAACGTAATCTCGCGCGCTCCAACTTCTTTTTTGTACGAAACAAACTCGCCCCTAATTATTATAATTGCATTTCGGTGCCGTTTTTTTCTGTTCTCGCGTCAAAAGCAACAATTTCCGTTTCGCTTTAAAAAGTTAATTTCCACGATTGGAAAACTTAAATCAATCAGGCAAAACGCAAACACTTCAATAAAATTAATCCAAATCAATTAAGGGAAACTTTTAATTACTTTCGCTTATACGATGTTTGAACTAGTTTAAAGGGAGTGAAATCGTCTCTCTTGATATTTGCTTAATCTCATCATCTTCTGTAGCTATTAAGCAATTTGTGGTAGGGTTTTTTTTGTGGGAAAAAGAAAATATATCTTTTGCTACCCCCATCCAAATTTGGGTGACCAAATTTTCCTCCGATTGTTTAGTTTTTAATGCCACTTATACGCACAGTGCAAGAATATGCGAAGTTTTAGCGACAGATTATTTCCAAATTAATGCCGAATTTAATCTAATTTCTCACTAATGTAAATCAAAGAGCATCAAATATTGTTTGATGAAATCACTGAGTCACACTGAATTTTAATTTTTAAGATTTGTTGAAATTAAATAATTAATTAAAAAACGAATAGGCGAAGCTTTAGCGAAAAATTATCTCAGACTAAAAGTGAATATGATCTAATTTTTTACGAATGTAAATTAAAATCGCATCAAATATTCTGTGATGCAATCACTGAGTCACACCGAAGGTTTTTAAGATGGGTTGAAATTAAATAATTAATTCAAGAACGAATAGGCGAAACTTTAGCGAAAAATTATCTCAGACTGAAAGCCGAGTATGATCTAATTTCTCGCGAATGTAAATTAAAAAAACATCAAATATTCTTTGATGCAATCACTGAGTCACACTGTAGATTTTTAAGATGTCTTGAAATTAAATAATTAATTTAAGAACGAATAGGCGAAGGTTTAGCGAGAAATTATCTCAGACTCAAAGCTGAATTTAATCTAATTTCTCACGGATGTAAATAAGTAAGGCATCAAATATTTTGCGCTGAAATCACTGAGTCACACCATAGATTATTAAGATGGGTTGAAATTAAATAATTAATTCAAGAACGAATAGGCGAAACTTTTGCGGAAAACTATCTCAGACTGAAAGCCGAGTATGATCTAATTTCTCGCGAATGTAAATTAAAAAAACATCAAATATTCTTTGATGTAATCACTGAGTCACACTGTAGATTTTTAAGATGTCTTGAAATTAAATAATTAATTTAAGAACGAATAGGCGAAGGTTTAGCGAGAAATTATCTCAGACTCAAAGCTGAATTTAATCTAATTTCTCACTAATGTAAATTAGAAAGGCATCAAATATTCTGTGATGCAATCACTGAGTCACACCGAAGGTTTTTAAGATGGGTTGAAATTAAATAATTAATTCAAGAACGAATAGGCGAAACTTTAGCGAAAAATTATCTCAGACTGAAAGCCGAGTATGATCTAATTTCTCGCGAATGTAAATTAAAAAAACATCAAATATTCTGTGATGCAATCACTGAGTCACACTGTGGATTTTTAAGATGCCTTGAAATTAAATAATTAATTTAAGAACGAATAGGCGAAGCTTTAGCGAGAAATTATCTCAGGCTCAAAGCTGAATTTAATTTAATTCCTCACGAATGTAAATTAAAATCGCATCAAATATTCTGTGATGCAATCACTGAGTCACACCGAAGGTTTTTAAGATGGGTTGAAATTAAATAATTAATTCAAGAACGAATAGGCGAAACTTTAGCGAAAAATTATCTCAGACTAAAAGTGAATATGATCTAATTTTTTACGAATGTAAATTAAAATCGCATCAAATATTCTGTGATGCAATCACTGAGTCACACCGAAGGTTTTTAAGATGGGTTGAAATTAAATAATTAATTCAAGAACGAATAGGCGAAACTTTAGCGAAAAATTATCTCAGACTAAAAGTGAATATGATCTAATTTTTTACGAATGTAAATTAAAATCGCATCAAATATTCTGTGATGCAATCACTGAGTCACACCGAAGGTTTTTAAGATGGGTTGAAATTAAATTATTAATTCAAAAACGAATAGGCGAAACTTTAGCGAGAAATTATCTCAGACTCAAAGCTCAATTTAATCTAATTTATCACAAATGTAAATTAGAAATGCATCAAATATTTTGTGATGAAATCACTGATCACACCATAGATTTTTAAGATGACTTGAAATTAAATAATTAATTCAAGAACGAATAGGCGAAGCTTTAGCGAGAAATTATCTCAGACTCAAAGCTGAATATGATCTAATTCCTCGCGAATGTAAATTAAAAAGGCATCAAATATTTTGTGATGAAATCACTGAGTCACACCATAGATTTTTAAGATGACTTGAAATTAAATAATTAATTCAAGAACGAATAGGCGAAACTTTAGCGAGAAATTATCTCAGACTCAAAGCTGAATTTAATCGAATTACTCACGAAAGTAAATTAGAAAGGCACCAAATATTCTGTGATGCAATCACTGAGTCACACTGAAGATTTTTAAGATTACTTGAAATTAAATAATTAATGCAAGAACGAATAGGCGAAACTTTAGTGGAAAATTATCTCAGACTCAAAGTTGAATTTAATCTAATTCTCACGAATGTAAATTAAAAAAGCAATCTGGTCCCACAGCGGCTTTTCAAAGGCGAATCTTTTTCCAATCAGGATACATTGGATCTAAAATACGAATTAATTCAAACTCTAATTTTCAGACTACCGATCCCAAAACTAATTCTCACTATATTTTTTACTAAGTACTGCTCCTTTTTAATATAACTAAGTCCGCCATAGGTTTTTTTTAACTGTGTCAATTGGAGTCGGTATATTCCTGAAATCACAGAAGAAAGAGGTGGGCTAACTATAGAAATCTTGCTGCCTAATCCTCCTGATCAAAGGAGTGACTTAATGCTGAGCTAGCAAACGTAACCCAATAGCACTAATTAAAAAGGCGAAATATGATTGTAAATGTCAGACATCTCGGTTCGAGAAGCTTCCTAAACCCATTAAGAAACAATGCTCCGCAGAAATTAAACACGCCACATTTTCACCGAGGTTTACAAATTTATTCTTTGAATTTCCACCAGGAACATTTATTTGGACAACCAATTTAAGGTGTTTGCAATCGCTTATGAATTTTGTCACGTGTGTTTACGAACCCAGTAAATTTAGAGTGTTGTGTAATTTGGTCAAGCCGAGTGCTTGATTTAAAAACTGTTAGTGAAAATGAAATGCAATTTTTTGATTTAAAATTGTGGTCTCATTTACAGTGACGAATAGTGAGGCCTCATTTATTTGTTTAAGTGCCCTGAAGCTCTGCGTGACATTTCAATATTTTCCATTTTATGTGGGTGATCCTGTGTTTCCACGCTAATTAAAATTACTAATTTGGTAAGTGATTTATCCTCTCCTATCCATCTTGCAGACGAAAACTAATTAAACCTCGCACTGTATAGATGATAATCTAAAAAGAATTATGCGGGTCACTCTGTAATTGGGCCAAAACCCGTTGAGAGCCCAGAATAAGATAGGGACAATAAATAAAATAAAAAAGTAAATAAAACGTTAAACATTGCGTATGTCAAATTGAAACTGTAATTAGCGACTCACTTTAACTAGCACGTCATATACAAAATAAGAAATTAGAACGCTCAAGAGGCCTCTTTTCCTTTTCCTATTTTTGTGCTCAGCCCAGAGATAATTGCTAAACGTGAGTGCACCGATGAATGCCTGCTTAGATCTTTCCACGTTAATCCGTTAGGTAATGAGGTGACGAAGAACTTAATACCCCAGTTTATTTTGAATGCAGACCACTTTCCGATGCTGAGATCTCGTCCCACAAACGGACGGATATTCCTTACAATGACAATTTCTTTTTAGTTTCATGCATTTATTGCTTTAGGTTAATTCGGGAACGGTTTTCTCGCTTATATTGTTTTTGTAAAAGTAATATTTTCTTATCTAATTGAATTTTTGCCATAATTAATTTTATTTTCGTAAGAAATGCTCCAACTAAGCAATAAGAATTTTTCAGATTGTGCGTTAATTCTGTAGGTCGTTGTATTTTATTAGTAGCAACGTATACTCGTTGTTGACCTAATGATTGGAAAGTGTAATTAAAGATAAATATCCACTCGAAAGCTTACATTTTCTGCTATAATCAGAAGAGATTGCGACGAAAAATGATCGTTGTCTATTGCAAATCACCCCCTCCCCGCTTTTACCCTCAGCGGATTTCGTAATAACATCGGAGAAACTATCTACAATGCAAAGTTCTTCAAGAAAAACAAGTGCATGGGCGTTTGCACTACCACTACTGCTCTGTACGTCGTACAAACACCAATTTTATAATTACGAATTCCGATGACCGGAATGAATTGCCACTGAATGTCAACTGTCTCTGCAGCGAAAAAAATTTTGCACTGGCACGTTTAATTGGTTGGTCCTTTACTGGATTTTTCTCGACAGTAATCCACCTACCCAACTGCTCCAGTATTTTATCGTTTTTTCTTTATAGGATGAACTTTGGCGTTAGCATGAACAAAAAACTGACACTTTCGAATTAATTCACTTCTAAATGCCAGTTCATTTAATTGTAAAGCCACACAACTCGATTAACCCTACTTCTTTATCAAAATACTCCGTCACCTCTAAAACGCATTATGCGGGTCACTCTGTAATTGGGCGCATGCCTGTTGAGGGCCCAGAACAAGAGAGGAATAATAAGTAAATAAATAAATACATAAATAAAGTCATCTTCCACTAATCTGTACATGTACTTTACGCGCAAAGCGTCTGGTTTAATCAACGATAACACATGCTTATCTTGAAAGTAATTAGCTGTCGCAGCTATAATGAATAAGGATAA